AAGAACAGGCACCACAAGGTTAGAGGTAGTGGATGAGTGAAAAGGTGACGATTGTTGCAAACGCCATAAGAGCTGGGTAGTCAACCCTTGTAATCGTTGATGGCGACTCTGGCTAGACTTGGCTTGCATGGGTCTTGGGGTTTGTTCCGAGACCGGAGAGGCAGAGATAGACGTGCTTGGCATGGCGCGGTAGTTGTGATGGTACGAGCCCGCTATTACATGCCCAGTCGACATGGAGAGATAGTGGCGTCTGGGTCGAAGCAGAAGGTGCAATTTGTACTCAGTGGGACCCTCTTGGGGCTCTGGCTCCAATTTGGATATTCCATAGTTAGATAGCAAGTCAGGGTTGACGCTTAGTGGCGTGGTGCTGGAACGCGTGCGGATAGCTAAACCCCGACTACCAGATGCATTGATTTGGGGAGTCGATGATCCCGAAGTTGACCACGGGGATGACACCCGAGGTGGGTCAGGGTCATAGGTGAAGATGGATGCCATGGGCACAGTTACAATTCAGACTGGTAACAAAGGTATTGGTAATGGGCACAGATATGGAGATAGATAGAGCAGTTCTAAAACTCGAGAAACATAAGGCATTCTTGCCATAGAATTCAATTGATTCTGTGATGAAGTGCAGTTCAACTGACTCACAAATGGCACGGGCCGAAGCATCACGTGGCCGCTATTTATCCGATGCCAAGAAATTGTATGTATGAGAAGTTCTATTAAGACATCAAGCCTGTGCTTTCAGAATCTTTTTCTTTCGACTCCCCAAAAATACACATGCATATTAAGGAAATCTAGTCCAGCTAGAATTGAGCGCCTTCGCTTTAACACCGAAATCAAAATTGTGCATATGCCGTCTACTCAGCGGATGAGTCCCTGCCTGAGCTTTTACACTTGCCCTGCGCAACATGGATGTTGCGTGCTGTCGTACGTGTAAACACCGCACCACATATTGGGCATTCAGCCTTGGCCACCACTCCGGATTTTTCTCGCTGGTGGCGGAGGAGATTGCTGAATGTTGAGAACTCACGACCATTGCAGCCATGGTCCCAGCATTGCGGTCGCGGGCGCAAACTCAGTACTCGGATTGGATGGTCAGAATCTGTAGCGGCGGCTGGCTCAGGTGAAGAGTAGATTGGCTCTGGGGCGGTCATCGATGGTGGCTGAGAGCTAATGGAGGTAGGGTGCGGTCTAGTTTTGGTTTCCGGTTAGCATACTGCATTATTCGGATTCATCGACTCAACTCACGGAATGGCAGATATATCGGGGAAGTAGTAGGAAGGTTGGTTTATCATATAAGGAGGACTGCCTCTAAATGTTAGCAAAAAGATCAATCAATGTTATACACCTCGAGCGGTTCATTCGACATACGACGTCATCAGAGGCTGCTCTGACTGAGGAGTGCCCGAAGAGGATTGAGGGTGGTAGGAACGAGCGTTGGGGGGACTAAATTGGAATTGTCAGTGTTTTCAAGGCCAGGTAATCCATCAACTTTTAAGGTTACCTTCGAGGCTGACTATGACGAGAAGGATTGCCGGGGGCTGCGAGATAAGCCGCCGGTAATTGATGTTCTTGGTGTTGGTATCCATGCAGCGGCCCATTTAAGTGACTAGGATAACCCATCGGATAGCCCGATGAAGGGTATGATGGATGTGAAGATGGAAATGGTGAGCTCATTTGTCCTGGTGGTTGCAAAGGCTGATAAGGTCGGTTTGTCCACGCATATTCTGAAAGCGTTAGTAAATGCCCCTTGATAATGTCTGGATAAACTTCGTACGGTGAGAATTATGCTGCATTGGGCCAGCAAAATAAGTGTCTGAGGCTACTGACATGGGGTATGATGAGATGCCAAGGCCGCTGTTGAGGGGATGCCCTAGTCAGCACAGAACATGAATCGTTTCTCATAGCGATTTTGCTTGACATACTGCGGATCTTCTGACCCAATTTCTTGTTTAATAGGAGTTATGTCCCCGATAGAAGATTGCGCTGTTGACTCTGTGGGTGGATAGTTCGAGCCCGGCAGAGTGGGAGGCCGACTCGTGCCGGTATTCGTTGAATGGTGCGAGGGAAGTGGCAGTGCAAATCCTTGTGTTAATTGCGAACCACCTTGCACAGCAGGAATAGAACTCTGAATGTTCTGAATGGGCCAGTGAGAGCCTGGTCCAGGAATAACGCTTTGTGAAAAGTCAGAAGTTTCCACTGACTGGACTGGAGACGAAAGCCCAGCGTTCGATTTCGAGTCTGAGACTGGCAGATTTGATTGATTCCTGGAAGAAAATGGTTCCTGTGAGCCAGATCCTCCGGGAAACATTAGGAACTATATAGGTCTCCGACCTGTGAGATTGCAAGTACTGTGGTAGGGGAAGGAACCAAGACGGAGTATAAGGGGAAAAGCGGCACTCAAGGAAGTCAACATACAGTTTAGTATCGCGATCCGAGTATTCCCTCACTATGATCAAAAGCTTTTTTTTTTTTTTGAGAATTTCAATCGGGGTACAGAACGGGCGCGATGAAGTATTTAAAAGGTCATACCCAGCAACGGGCGTTTACTAGTGACCCCCGCAATCGTTTTATGATCTAAAGGGTCCCAGTTGGGTAGCGTTGCTGGCCCACAAGTTCAGAAACCAACACCAACTTCTAGATTTCTTGTGCGCCACCGGTGTGCATCGATCGGTGCCGGGTCTACTAAAACATCCCTTTGTGCCCACCCGCTTGTTCACCGTCTCAATTGCATCTATGATAGAAGAACATTGGTTTGAACTATAAGAATCCCAGCAAGAAAAGCAAAAAAAAAAGGAAGAAAGAAAAAAGAAATCCTAAGATCTTCAAAATGAGGTGGGCCGATGGGAACTATCACGAGCAGAGTCGGACTTTTGACCCCCACAAATGACGGGTAAAACACAGGATATGCGGGAAGAGGACTCGGAACTGATTGCGACTGGGGCCATCGTCTGTACAGTAATGATCCTCCTAAGGGGAGATGGCAATCTTGGCCTGGGCATTGGATCGCTGGATTCTAGCCCCCATTATAGTAAATGGGGGCGGATTGGGGGCCACAACGCTCCCTATGGTCTAGCGTGTGGCTAGATACTCCGAGATTTGACCTTATGCAATTCGAAAAAGAAACATAAAATCAGGAAAATATATAAAAAAAAACTGCTCAATAACTCGCTTGAAGTTGTAAGTTCCACCGTCCCCGGCCCGATGCTTGTCCCCTATCACTCTCGGCCCCCACAAAAGGCGCCGTTGGAAAAAAAAAAGAGAGTTTATATTATGAACCCTTACCTATCTAGGAGAATTAGAGTTATTAATGGAGACTAATATATAGTATTTCCTTCTCGTTCTTGTTTTTAGTTTTTTATTTTTTTTTAAAAAAATTAAAGAACTCAAAAGAAAAATACCAATGTCCCCATCTGGGTACATGATAGCGTTAAACGCCCCTAGGCAAATGCTAAGATTTCAGCCCCAGATAATCCCGTCCTAGTAGGGATGTAGTAAAGCACGGCGATCGGTTCTTTATTAGCCCCGAAAACTTCCATGACACCGGTACTATACGTAGTACGTCTTGAATCGAAAATGTTGGGGTCCGTGACTATTGTAGGCAGCCGTGTATCAAAATGGCAAAGCTGTAAGTAATGGTGGATCTTGTCACAGAGAAACACAGCCAAGACAAATTGTAATTTGCCAGGGTCATGATATGTTCGACTCAGATTTAGTGATTTAGCGCCTAGGGATTTGTCACTTTAACATACTTCGGAATTGAGGGCGTTAAAAAAAAAATCCAATCGCCCCTAGGTTCAGGCACGGTCATGATCGGCTCACTCCACAAGGGATCCGCAGGTGTATCAGTTTGATTCAAGACATGTGGTTTCTACTAACTAATGCACGGTTGATCATTTGTGCCTCGTGGCCGATTACGGAGTACGGAAAACGAAGAGGAAATAAGGCCATATTCCGAACCCTTTTTTTAAAGCCGGGATATACGACGATCTTTAGTTTCTTGGGTTTGGGACTAACGCTGTTTTATATTGATTTGGTTTCTTTTGCCGCATCCTTCGGGCTTTGGGGTCTACCTATATTCGGTATTCGGATGGTCTCATCTACTTTGACAAGGTTGTACTATCCAGTACGCCTTGCTCATGCTCATATATTATGTAGGTTAAGATGTCGCATTAATGCTGTGACTATTGGATGAAACAAGCGGCCATTCTTATCTTATTCTGTTAGCCAAGTATGTCAAAATACTATGGGTCATTTTGCCAAGAAGAGATAACTGACTTGAAATCAATCATATACCAAGCCTTGGCATATCCATTCAGAATGTGAGTTCCTGGAATTTCTCCAAAACAAATCAATTGAGAGGTGAAGTGATGGGAACAGCAAGGGCTGCAGATACGCTCCGTTGTACATGTCACTCTGCCCAAATTCAGGTCAATAAGCAAGGCACATTAGGAGAAAACGAACATGGCATTCCCGTTGGTCACACGTTGATCCTATGAGATACAATGCAACGTTAACACACCGCTCACCTGCATATCAACTATAAGTGCATGAAAGCCGTTGAAGTCTATGAGACCTTTCCGGGTACGAGACACTTTTGAAACCCACTATTTTTGATCATATTATTACTTGTCAGGAATGATAAAATGTCTAATTTCCTTGTGTAGTCTAGAAAACTTACATTTTCAACACTTGGATTAGTGGAAGATTGGGTTGAGTGTGCCACACACGATCAGAGCTAGTAGGTTGAAGATGAAATAGGTGAATCTACTGTGACAGTATTGTTTCCATTGTTTCAATTAAACATATCTAACACAAAGTTTTCTTATTGTAGGGAAGGTCGAATATACGAAGAATGAACTTCCAACCTCAGGACAATGTGACAATGGAAAAGTTGAGTCACGTGACTGATCTCACCTGATCAGATCTTCTCTTGACTCTGATCCAACAGCATCATCAAAATCAACGCGTTTTTTTTTGGGTCCCCACAATCTCTAGCTATCTGCTGGTGTCTTGACTGTTTATTAAATTAAAACCGTCCTCGGCTTACAGCTTACTGATTCACCATGAAGCTCGTCCGGTATGTGCTCACCTTTATTGTGCGCGGCAATCGCCAGCTCCGCTTGACGCACCAAGCACTCATCAAACCCACACCTGCTGACATCTAATGAACCTTCTAGCTTTTTGATGAAATGTGCCAATGAGACGGTGACTGTTGAGTTGAAGAATGGTCAGAACCCCGCGCGCAATCCCGCAAACCCCAACCTAACCTCACCGAATATGCCAATCCTCGATATAGGCGAAAGAACTGTGTTCTCTAACTTTAATCCCTCATCTAGGCACAATTCTTCACGGCACTATTGTGTCAGTCTCTCCTCAGATGAACACTTCTCTCCGCGCTGTCAAGATGACCCCCAAGGGCCGTGACACTGTTTCTCTCGACACTATCAACATCCGCGGTTCCACTATTCGCTATTACATTCTCCCCGACAGCCTTCCTCTTGATACCCTCCTCGTCGATGACGCACCCAAGCCCAAGAACAAGGCCCGCAAGGAGACAGACCGTGGTCGTGGTGGTGGCCGTGGCGGACCACGAGGCCGTGGAGGGCGCGGAGGCCCCCCCGCGGTCGTGGTCGCGGACGTGGATTCTAGATTTTCTGTTTTATTTTGAGAGAACAACCCGGCGTTTGTTTCTGTCTTCGAAATTCGGTTTGATTTTGCATCATATGGGATACAATCTGTTGTTCCTTTTTTTCTCTACTACCCAGGCCAGGGGTCCCGGTTTGGATGGTGGGTGACATACTGAGAAAAGAATTAAGCAATTTTATCGGGGAATATTTCCCCCCACTCTGAATCTGCGCTCGTGAATATTCTATGCTCGGATTTTTTTTTTAATGCTTTTGACAGAAAAAGTAGCTAAGCATTAGCTATTAAGAGTACTGAGACCACCCGAGAGAAGGGATACACACAAGCTAGCTGTGATTAGATCCACCTTCTTTCCCTTCACCTATGCATGATTCTAGAGCATGTGAGTGTGAGACCATGGCTGTATGCCAAGGGGGCTTTGATGTCTAAAAAGGACACTCAACGTGATCAAAACCACAGTAACAGATATCGAAAAACATCATACTTTTATGAACACGTACATCCTAGACATGTTCCACTCTCGCAAAGCTTTAGGCTATGTACATGTCTTGTAATTCTTGGTGTGTTCTAGCGTCTCCCTTTTTTTTCCCCCCTTTTTCCCTTTTTTCCGTTGAACTCTTCCAAAACTCGGTCTCACACGTCGCCTTCGTGATTGGCAATCTAGGCCGAGACATGTGCATATCAACAGCTAAGATCTACGTACTCGGCTTCGTATTTCTCCGTTGAAACACCTATATTCAGGGCTTACTCTCGGAAAGACAACAAATATATTACTCTCCCCACAACTACTTCGCAAACTCAATATCAAAACGGCGTAGATCTAATTTAGAGGTAAGATTACACCGAGACACCACTACTTACCCAATTAGGTAGGTAACATGGGAATGAGTTATTGCAGAACCTTATGATCGCCCTCTAGTGATCTGCAAAAAAGCGCGAGGATTTAAAACATGAAAAAAAAAAGCCTATCTTAGGTGGAAGGTGGAACCAGAGAAGCTGCGAGTGAGCTGAAGTGGGGGGTTTCAAACGGTGATTTGAGACGTGAGTGTCTGCTCAATACTCAATACTCGAAATAGCCTTTAGCCAATGCCTCTAAATTATTATACCACGAGGCAAATTTTCCATTCTCCCCGTTATCCCCCGTTCCTTCCGCGCGTCATGGATTCTCGGAACACCGGTGTTCCTGAGACTCTTAGATTTTTCTATGTTGTAAGGATGTTTTTTTGGTATTTTAAAGAATACCGGGACAGGTCCGAACCATTTGGATCAATAAGGCTGTTACGGTAGTCCATTTCCAGCTAGAGGGACCAGAGTCTGTTGATCCAGCACTTTAGACCAACATGGTTCGGTAGACTGTTTCCAGTTAAACAGTGATCAAATACAGTTCTGCCAAGGTTGTTTTACAGTGGCTGATAAGGACCTTCGATTTCAGGGGTTCCCGGGTGTGAATCCTCCCGTGTACATCAAACCGTTACGGTTTTGATTTCCGAAACTTATCAGGATTGAGGATTACTGCAAGGCGAACTCTAAGTACTGCTACTGCTGACGTATGTTCTCTGTATACTTCGTCATTTGTACAAGTACGTATGTTGTACATCGTATGAGAATGACTACATAGTACATCGGCTACAGTTACAGGGTATGTTTCCGGTTGATGTATTGGTTGATTTTAGTATGATTTATTTTTTTCCCTTTTTTGTGATTGGGCGACATTGCGATCAACTAGCCTGTTACATGATATCCCTAAGATAACCTTCTACGCAAGCCTTCATTTTTTCGGTTAACCCATGCATAATTCACAATTACCTTCCCATGATCTTCGCTAGTATAGATGTAACACAGTCCTGACCCTGCCTAGAGCACGACACCGCCGATCTTAATGAGTACAACCGCCCCTGTGCATATACTTTAGGGTGGATAATATATCCATCTTTACGGAGTCCTCGTTTAACATCCCCGGTTCAGTCCCATTTGTCTTACTGGGGTGGGGGCGGAAAAGGGGGTTTCCGATCGTCGATCAGTTCTCGATCAGTCCTCGATCCCAACGCTCTGTTCGGAGATTTCTTCAACGTTGGCACACGTGAGAAGTGGTCTACAAAGTACTGGAAATGGCAATATTGAATTAGTTCATGGGTGCGATGGATGAAGGAAGAGAAATAAAGGTGTCATGAGATCAGATGATCTCACAACATGACAGCTGCCCACGTGGACACGTGGGGACCCATTGAAGAGCTGTGGGGACTACGGAGAAAGGATTTCACTAATTGTCAAAGTTTGCAGGTCCTTTTTTCTCAAAAGGCAGTGGGGACTTAGTCGGATAGGGAACCAATTACATTGTATATGCCAAATTGCAACTAATAGCACGATACAGTCCTAAGTAAAGTAGGTCCAGATTAGGAAAATGGTTTGACGACTCACATCTATGGCTTGTTGTTCGTATCCTGAAGAGTACGTTGCCTGAGATTCAAAGAATTTGATAAGAATAAGCGACATTAGGATGATTACGTTCAAAGCGTCGGGGTCCGCGGGTGTAGATATTATGTATTTAGTAGCCTGAATGGCCAACATTAGAGGTATATATAAACCAATAAAATAGACCTCTCTGCCGTGTTTGACAAGCTAGGCAATCTAACAAAAAGTGTTATATTTCTCTTCAGGAAACTACTGAAAATAAACCATTACCTGCAGAAACCAAGCCATAACCAAGGAAGCCAATAGGCATACGCAATAGCACAATGTAAGGCCTAATCTAGTATTATAGCTCCCGTATCATTATTTTCTACCAAAGGCCACTAAACGATCATGTGCTTGATTCACTGGTTCACTGCCTGATTATTATTACATACATTCCAAGTGATACTCCAAACATCTGAATATGTTACACTAGTACAATGGGATCATACGATACATCCAAATCCACCAATCTCGCACTCGGCCCTTCCAGCTCAGCTGGTTCTTTCAATTGTGGACGTGTCCCTTGAATGCCGTCTTTCTCAAAGACAGGATTGGGGTCCAATTCATGAATCGCATACCGGGGAGTAAGCTTCTTAGTTTCCGCAAGCTCAGATGGTCCCTTTCCCCCATCGTTCCCTCGGCGTTTTCTTCCATGAAGAATTCAAACCCCAATCCCTAGAATAGTCAAGATAGCCCCTAGTCCGACTCCAACGCCTGTGCCTGCTTTAGCACCTGGTGAAAATCCCGGAGATTCCTCTTCTGATACTTGAGTCGTTGTTATCGTTGTCGGTGTTACAACTGCTGTGGTGAGTGAAACAAACGCCGTAACCGGGGCCGAATTAAGGTCAGTGGACTTCCAACGAAGTTCAACACCATATGCGTTCCAGCCATCAATGCCCGATGCGATAGAGCCGGTAGGGCTTCTTGTAGTACTGATTGTGTTTGTGTGCTTATATGTCCAGTTCATGGCCACCGTAGCACTGAGATCGCAAGCCTCGATAATGGGACAGAATTTGTCTATACAACAAGCTCGTGTAGTAAATGTCCAGCTACTTGGTCTATATTAACGTCATATCAGCATATCTTCCATTCTCCTGCTATCACTGATTTTTAATAGTGCGAAGTCCTAAGTAGTAAATAGAGCAACATGTTCCTATAGCCTCCCCGGCACTTGTATGATTTCCGGCCATTGCCCAACGGCTAGGACAAATGATCCCCGGCGAATAGTATGTCGTTGGGGACCAGGCCGAACCAGAAGTCTATGGGGCATTCCCTAGCCGGCGTAAAGGTCATCGTGAGTGGGAGAGTTGTAAAAACAACCAGACTACTAGCTGTGTTTATCCGTGTCCCAGATGATATGCAGCCCTTCCGATGAAAGAAGATATGACCCGGGGCAGAGAAACAGGGGATGAATTATTTGAATAGGCATGATCAATACTTAGTCATAAAGAAAACTCTAAAGTGTCATATCTATTGCTCCTGCTAGGAAGTCGTTGAAACCTGTCTTCGGAAAATTACGAAGTCAGCGAGAACAAGAGCCTTGGGGTTTGCATTCAATTATTAATAGTCTCTTAGATCTCTAAAGACATCTAAACATCATAGGACAAGGGATAATCCAACTATGTCCTGCTATCTAATCAATTGTATGGTTGACTCGGCGTCACTGACGGGATGCGCTATGATGTTTGGCGTCTATAGGTTCGTGGATTTGCACTTGTCTGTTATCGTTAGAAGGATAGCTGTTCCTGCAGCAAGCTAACCAAGGTCTTTTCCGTAGTGATCGGTTTAATCTCATTGTCCATACTCGTTTAGTGGTATAAATCATCTTCCATTCGAGTAACCTTAGCCGGTGGTTGCATTTGAATAGATCGGAAGCAAGTCAAAGGTCTTGTGATATCCTCTGTTATTCAATAGTGCGATGTCTGCTGTTTGCTATGGTGTGAAGGCATTGGCATATTTAGGGCGGTGATCCAGTGTCGAAGACATTCCTTACTGGGCCCGCTATTTGTCCTGTCGTTCTTTACTTCTTCCATCCCTCTTCGTTCTTCGTCCATCGTTCTTCATTCTTGCTCTTCGGTCTTCGTCTTTCGATCTTCATTCTTCGCTTTAGCCTTTCCATCCTTAGTTGTGGCGTACAAGTTTTATCAACCTTGCTGAACTCCATACTTCCCATCATGTCAAGCTTTGATAAATTCCTCAATCCCGCATTCTGCGCAAATAACATAAACTTGCCATGTCCCAACGAAACCTCCAAGGCTAACAATGCTTGCGGCCGCTGCTACTTGGTTGTGGTAAGTCTCCGACACTTTGATCTCTTCAAGGCCCTGTATCATGTTCTAACCAAAATCAACACAGTACTGCAGCAGAGAATGCCAAAAAGAACATTGGTCTACGCACAAAGAGGATTGTAACAACACTCTTGCAAAGGGTACATGGAAGCCAGACTGGCATACTGAAGATCGAGACCCAACTTTCATCGAAACGGACCCATCTGAACTGAATTCAAATGCCGACAAAATTTCATGGTGGGGAGGCATGCCAGCATTGGATTTGCTGAAACTGGATGGAAATGAAAGCCAGGATGCACCCTCCAAGATGCGTCTTCTTCTCACATGTAAGAGACTGTCTGCACTCCAATAACCGATTCATTCAACTAACACAATTCATGATAGCATCACACGATATTCGAAACATGGTCGAAACAGTCACTCGTTTGCCAGATACGTATTCGGGGCAATGTGAGATTGTGATGAATGGCCTTTGGGGTTTTCGCACAGAATATCGTCCTTGTTTTGACGGCTTTCCATTTTCCACCAGAGGAAGCCACCCCTATCATGATTCACTTATGGTATTCAGCATTGATACCCGCGTCTGTTCTCACAGCACTTCAAACTAAGCTCCTGCCGTTGATTGAGGAAGTCTGCTCCGAAGCTGCACTGAAACGTCCCAAGCGGTTTTTCAGATGGGCCTGGAAGAAGAACAAATCATCCTTACAACTCGAACTTCTGAAAGATGAGTGGGAGCGTCTTCGATACACTCTTCGGTTTCCTGGTCGTTTTTCTGCCTCCGAAGCTACCCGAAATCGACAAGATGTCGTGTTGGCAGACAAAAGAGTAGATGCACTCCACAGGACTCTGCACGCACAACCGCGATATTGGCGTCTCTCCACGATGAAGTTCCGCCGTGATGGAATATTGTTGCCTTTCGGATGCTCACACAGAGAGTTTGATACTCCTAACCCGTGAGTTTCTCCACCTCCTCATTGTACTTGCAAAACCACTAATACAATTAGGATGCTTTTCTCTGCTAGTCGTTCTTGGCCTATGCCAGACTCTGCAGATCCGCGCAGCAGCTGGAACCTCCAGGAGGTATGCACTGGAGCGTACACTGAGAATTATCCTGCGAAAAATGATCTGTACGGTATGCTATTCATCCACCTCCGAGAGACTTTCTTGCGTTTCTGTCGCCAACTTACGAAGCGGAATATTACCATTCGACTTATTTCTGTCGATTCACTGAGTCTACCGGGATATTTCAAAAAGCTAGAACATCCAGGGGTTTGACAGAATTGAGGTAATCCAACAACCCTGAGTTTCCCTACCCCCCTAATTTCAAATCCAATTGTGTTCATAAGACGATGCTAATTCGATACAGACATACATCAATGCAGAAAAAGACGTACTTGGGATCGACATCACCCTCGCCCTAAATATCCCGCTGCTGAAGCCAAAGACTCAAAACCCGAAGGCCATGATACTTGTCCTCTTTGTCTGTGACATTGAGGAAATGTCTATTATGGACACACTTGACAAGGACATCGCTCGTGTTGCGAAATACCTTCCTGAACCCGAGACAACGGATTACAACGATGCAGACCAAATCAGAAGAAGGAGATCCAGCTCTTTTGTCTGCAATGTCAGTAGATTGTTTGATCTTTACAAAAAAGCCCAAGGCTTCGACAAACTCACGGACAAATATGGATTGAAGATGCGGGAAAATAACACAATCGTGGCCCACTGGCCAATGCGACCTGGAAAGAACGCGCCCCAGGAGGTGTTTGATATCCTCGAGGGATCCGGTGCCACTGGCTTCGAGCGGTACGTCGAGTGGGAATGGGCATGATTATCTTCACGATTGCGGAACTACCAAGCAGTCAATTACTGGGTGTGTATGTATCCTTATTTCTGTTCCGTCGATCCACAAATGGTATCATCGTCATTCAATTTATGTATTCATCGTAAGCTATCCTTTCTCCATATCCTCACAATAACCAGTTTCTCCCACCCGGCCTGCATCCCACTCGACCCCGCCGTCTCAACCTGCCAACCATCCCAGCCACGGATACGCTCCATAACCTGATCAGGCCGGTTCTGCTTGCAGAGTAAGACATATGCCACACCACGCACAGACAGCACACCCGGAATAGCATCAAGCAATCTATCCGTAGTTTCCATCCCATCCGCTCCACCCGCATACGTCAAAGACAAAAAGTACGAGTCATTGTCGAACTTAGCAGAGCGAGACATTGCCTCCGAAACAGCAGGGTCATTTTCTGCCGCAGAAGGCAGACGCGGCAGATCCTCAGTCGGAACATAGGGTGGGTTGAAGAGGAGGACATCAACACTGCCAGGACGAAGAGGCGTACACAAATCGGCTGTTAATGAAGAGATGTGAACTGATTGAGGAGACGGCTGTTGCTCTGCTTGAATGGCTGTCGTTGCGGTCTTCCGCGTTGCGATGCAAGCATTGCGGTTCACATCTGTGCCTAGTGTGAGAACATCGCGTCGGCCGAAGATCTGTTGAGATTGGGCGGCTGTGAAGGCTAGCACAACGCCAGAGCCTGTGCCTACTTCGACGACTAGTGGCGATGCCTCTTGGTTCTTTGGGAAGCGTTCAGAGAGCCATTTTGATTCGGATGCTGATGACAATGTGTCTAGGAAGAGGTATGAATCTTCGGATGGCTCGTAGATGGTGTCGAAGGACACATGTGAAGTATCTGGTGTGGGAAGCATGGTGCGTATGTAATAGAGAGTCAAGTCGTAGAAATTCGAGGTTTATCAATGTCTTTTTTTTTTTGGAGATAGTGGGGTTATCCCAAATTTATATGTTGCAGAATGCGCGATCTTGGCTTGAGACGATCACAATTGCACAGGGAAAGAAGAGTACTAATCCACTCAATTGGAACATCCGAATATCCAATATGAACTTTTGAAGCAAAATATCCAAAAATATCAGCAAATGGCAAAGGAAATCCAAGGTAAATCTTCAATCCCGAGACATCCCGACCCGTTGATTCGCGCGTTCTCCTCGCCGCCTTTGCCTCCCCGAGGTCGAAAATCCCCGGAAATTATGTCATTCCTCAATCTTCCCAATCTTCCCTAAATCCAACCTCCCACATATTCAAGATGCGCATTGCTCAGCGTTTACTCATGGCCACGCCGGCCTCGATCGGCTCGAAGTCCAGCCTCAGCGAGGCTCTCGCTCTTCTCCCGCCGCTACAGCTCTACCGGCGCATTCTACGCGTCCACCGCAAGCTCGAACCCGAAATGCGCGTCTTGGGCGACTCTTATGTGAAGAACGAGTTCCGTGCGCACCGCAGCGTGGAGAACCCATTGCATATTGTATGTGTCTTGTCTGAGTTGGTGTGGTTATACCGAGTTGAAGAGAACGGGAGGCATGGCGGAAGAGGAAGGGCTTGTCGATGCAGTCGCTAACATTTAGAAATGATAGATCGGTTTCTTGACCGAGTGGCAGCTATATGCGCAGAAGTTGGAGGGTGATCAATGGGCGGGAGATAAGCTGGATCAGAGCAAGTTGGACAAGATGAGTGGTATGTTCTTGACTGTTGTTTGGACTTTGTCTTGGTTAATCAAATTGCTAATCGTTGGTTTTCATTACAGATCAGCAACTTGGACAGTTACTCGAGCTTATGCAGGCTCTGAAGAATGAGGGAGAAGGAGAGGGTCAATGAGTTCTCGATTGATTTCATTGAACTGAGGTTCACACTACCACCTCGAGAGTTGGTGACATGAGCTTCGAAAATCGGGGTCTCGGCTGTCCCATCAGTCTAAACTGATTCTCGAGTGCAGTGGGCTTGATCTCAGGGCAGTCAGGCGTGTCCGGTATGGTTATGCTGGGAGATGCAGGCATCTCCCATCCCCCACCAGCCCATATGTATATACTAGGTGTAGGAATAGAAGAGACAAGGCTTTCACTTGATTTAGCAGGTTTGACCATTCAGGTCTGCACCTCAGTTAGGTATATTATGGAGTATAGCCTCTATAGATACATCTCGGAACCTTATGTTGTCGCGGAACAATTCCGAGAGACACCTGGGGGTGTTTCGCATGTCCGTGAACATGGACGAAAAAGTGACCGTCCGTGCACAAAAGGCAATTCCAGCCCTAGACCCATCTATCATGTTTTAGTATATAGTGGAAGATCAACGATAAGGCAAACTATATACTCCAACTTCAGTGGAGAACGCCCTACCGATGGCAAGCTGACTCATGCAAAATCGGCTGCCGATGCCGATATGGAGATAGAGAGGTATATCAATCGCCAAACCTCCTTTAACCACTTTCCAATTGTCCAATTGACATTCTATCACACTTCACCCATATCCCCAACCCTATCTCAATCCACACATCCCCCCCCCCCCCCAAACTTCACTCATTCACCATGCCCTCCATCCTGGAAGACCCCACGACCCGCAACCCCCCACCAAAAGCACACACAGATGCAGCGCCGACTCTAACAGCGAGGAAAATTACTCTGCCCAAGTCCTCCTCCGCACCAATGACGCTCTACCCCATCATAGGAGGACCGCAAGCAGTCCCCAAAGACCTAATCAAATTCCTGCACGAGGAGTTCACCGCGGAGATCCTCCGCGGCGGGACATACCCGATGGAGCAGCCGATGCCCCTAGATCAATTCGCCGATTATTGGTTCGGGACGTTTGCAGTCCTGGCGATCTTGGACGACGAGGGCGAGGGCTTAAGAGAAGGAAGGAATTGGGAGAGTGTTTGTTTGGGAACTTTTTATATCAAGCCGAACTATCCTGGTATGTGGTTTACATCATTTAAATCATCCTCTATAAGAATAAGGAATAGAATACTAACTCTAATAGGCCGCTGCTCCCATATCTGCAATGCAGGCTTTCTCACTACCACTGCCGCACGCGGAAAGGGTGTTGGACTGGCTATGGGCGAAGCTTACTTGGAATTTGCCCCGAGATTGGTATGACTTGCACCCACCGGGTTTGCACTTGGCAGTAATTACTCCATCGGATATAGAATAAGCGTGACTAACTCTTTTGGTAGGGATACACATACTCAGTCTTCAACCTGGTCTTCGCTAATAACCCGGCCTCCATTCGTATCTGGGAGAGGCTAGGGTTTAGTGTTATCGGACGGGTTCCCAAGGCTGCGCGGTTGGCGAACAGCGAGGAGTTGGTGGATGCATTGATTTTCGGACGTGAGCTGGGTAGTTAAATGGCATGTTTCAGTTTCAGTTTTAGTTTGAGATGTCCATTCATGTTTCACATATAATGAGTTGCTGTTTCGAATATATAGGTCGTGTTGTTACGAATGACGAACATACTGCGGAGTACAATGAACCATGACTGACAATAAATAAACTGCCTGGGAAACGAGTAATGTCATTTCAAGACCAAAGACACAACTAGATAAAACTACAAGGAATAATATTCACAGGGAAGAGAAGCGGAGTGATAATCAACGAGACTTCCAAAGAGAAAATAACTGGGAAATAGATGACCCCAACGCTCAGATCATACCATGCAAACGAATAGGGATATCACGCAAAACCTGACTTGTCAAGATGATGGCTCCGCTTCACACCGACTAAACACCGATTTAGAAATCGAGACCGAACCAAGGGCGAAGGGGTGTAAATGCACAAGTAAAAAAGAACATAGATAGAACATAGATAGAACAAGGTCGTAGAAGTGTAGATAGAAGTCGAAGGGTAAAGGAGGATAGAATGAGAAAGAGGGAGAGAAGATGATGAGGACTATAGGTAACACAGGCGTAGCTAATGAACAGTTCGAATTATACAACTCAGTTGCCATTAGCGCCACCGTGGACGCGTATCCACCGGTTTCGGGGTTGCCTGCTCTTTCTCCATTCGCTTGGGAAGCGGGAGTAGACTGGTTCTCCTGTTACTAGAATGGCCTAGCGATGTACCCGGTCGTGACGATTTGCTTGGGCTCTCCATCCCACCCGTAGCTCCCGACACGCTTCGACTGAAAGTCGTGGGTGGGCCCGCAAAGCTCTGGCGAGTGCGAGGTGTGTTTGAAACCCCTGATTGTCGATAGAGCCGGCTGTACGGCGGCGGATCGAGGAGTGAGGATCGCACCGGTGTGGGAGACGACACGTTCCGGTTGGGACTCCGAGAACCAAAACGGCTCGAGACGCGACTGGTTGATCGAAGACCGCCAGGAATCGGGGATGCAGACATATCTCGTCGGGAAGTGTTGGGGAATGGGAGTGTTGATGATGGCCGGGGTGTGCGGGCCAGGGGTGCGGATGATTTCCGCAGTGTCGTATTGTAACTAATAGATGTGTCGTTCAGGTTTGTACTGCCGTTCCAGCGGGGGCGATTGGGAATTGTAGACGGCGCCGCGGGTGTACGAGAACGAGCAGCCGGCGTCGGGGTGAAGTAGTTTGAGGATCTGTGGGATGGAGTAGGAGAGATTAAGCCCGTCGGTTGGGGGATTGAGGACTTTCGACCGGTGTAAGTTGCCGTTGGCTGCGGCAAGCTGGAATAACGACGGTTTGGGGGTATCGTCGAGCGGGCTGTGGCACTCCCGACTGAACTTTCACGACGGCTTGATCCGCCCATGGGCGTTGAGGCGCGCTTGTATCCGTTGCCGGCCATGATGACTGACGACGCAGGAGAGCTTCCCGGGGTCTCGATGGCACTGCCTGTGACTGGACTGTCCATGGTGAGGATGCTGGAGATTGAGTCTCGTAGCTGGTGGCCCTTGGTTATGTGCACGTCTTCCAGAGATGTATCCATTACCTTAGTGCTAGCCTTGAGAGCATCCGTTCGGGATGTCATGTCGGATAGCAAGCGCAGAATCTCGCCATTGACAGTCAATCGGTCGTTGACACCCTTTTGAATGATGGAAACCACACGCTCAATAGCAGGAACATAATGCATTTTCTTCGCTTCATAGCTTTCAATGAGCTTGGTCAGCGTTGACGGGTTGTGCATCTGCATGCCGCTTTCCAGCCCTTCTTGTAGCTTTCCAATGCTGCGTTCGACCGATTGAAACATCTTTTGTGCTTGAGCCCCAGCATTGCGGAAAACCAGAATCCACTTGTCTTCTGCCAACTCCTTCAGGAGGGCTTCAGCATCAGTCTCAAGAACTTTATAGCTCTTCTCCAAGCGATTTCGTCGTTCCTCAATCTCCTCACATGCACTCGGGAAAATGGTTTCAGCACGTCCCTGAAACATTGATAGTCGCATGGGCAAAAACTCCAACGATGCTTTCAATGGCTGCATACGTGCAAAGATAGCCATGAGGTTAGAGTGACTCGTATCGTCCTGCGGTGTTTTGATGACGGGCGTGTCAGACGCCGAGGCCAAGAGAGGTCCAATACTCAGACGGTTCTGCGAATGTCCGCGGCTCTTGATGGGGGACTCTTCCACAATCGTCTCCAGCTCATTGATGTCAAGGCCGCCACTGGTATCGCTCGTATCCATCAACGCCTGATGTCGCTTCTCTTCCATCTCAAATATCAGCCCGCTCAAGTTATCAACTTCCACACCAACGTCGCCCAAAACGTTCGACCAAAGTTCCTCCCACTCCATTGCCAATTCAACTTGTTCTTTTACGCCTTTCAGCTTTTTCTTGATCTGGGCCCAGTTTTGCAGAATACTCTCCATCTGGCTCACAATAGTCTTCAAGTTCTCCACGTCCACATTGGCAATGTCGTCTCGAAGTTGGACATTCTCAATAGCCCTAACGTACACATTGACGAGCGACTCGAACCGCGTAATTGCCTTATCGACTTCGTCTAGCCCCTCCCGCCCACCAGCCGCAGCCCACTCCACGTCATCTTCAGAATCCAAGCCGCTCAGCACATCCGAGGCTTTCTTGATCCAAATTTGAATTTGCTCTGCGGCGCCGTTCAACGCCCGGACTGCAGACAAAGCCGTGGAAATGTTTTCGATGCTTGCCTCGAGCGAGGCTGGTTGTGGGAGAGGGATGGAGGTAAGCTGCGAGAGCTGGTTGCTGAAGGATGCTCGGGAGAAAGAGTATATCGAGTCTGCGCGCTGCAGACCCATTGGGTTGAAATATGATTGCGAGTTGGAGTTGGATGACGAGCGCGAGTGCACGCCGTCGGCGGGAGGCGAGTCTTTGGGAGGTGGATTCGGAGCGGACTGCTCTTCAGCGGACCGTTCCTCTCTTCGTGCGGTATCGTCGACATATTTTTCGAAGTCGGTCCGGTCATCTTGAACGGCGTTGGGAGGTTGGGGGCTCGGGTTGGGGGCTACGCGCAGCTGCGCGAGAACCGGCTCTGCGACAGACATGGGTGTAGGTGGGCTGACGGGTTCCACGGCCTGGGCAGTCTCCGGAACGACAATGGTGGCCGGAGTGGACAATTCAGGACCGTCCAAAACTGCTTCCGATGACTCTGGGTCCTTTCTTTGCGCGTCTGCAATCTCTTGGAGGATATCGTGGTGGGGTAGCTCGAGCTGGTTCGACGCGCTCCGCTTGAACTCCTGTGTTTGTCCGGGTGATATGTTTGTACGATTCCACGCTTGGCCTTTCCTTTTCACCTTGATCGATAGGTCTTGGTGAAGATTATCAAGCTCCTTCAGGTGCTCTTCGGGGATCCGACCGACTGCATTGGCGTTTCGGTTCTGCGCCGCGGACTTATTACTGCTGTCCAGCAGCTTGACGCGAGCCGCGAGGGCAGGAGAAAGTCGGCGGAGGATGGATGTTCGGCCGGCGCTGGTCGGCTCAGGAGGTACGGGTTCTTCTTCGTTGTTGCTGCTCCCTAAGCTCCACAGGGATGATTTGGACTTTAGGCCTAGGAGGGTGGAGGTGCCGGAGTCATTTGGAGATACGGAGAGCGCGGGGGTGAGCGACGGCGGCGATGTAGGTGTTGTGGATGTATTGGGAGGATGCGTGGCGAGGTCGGTCGCAAGAGTTGGACTGTCGGCTGTGGCATGCATGGAGACAGACCCTTGGGTGGGATTAAAAGAGCAAAAGGACCAAAGGATGTGGTTCAGACAGGGATACAAGGAATGTTTCGTCTTGTTCGGCGCTCGGTAACAAGGAATCAGAGAATCCCTTTCTCACGATTAAAGGCGGTCTTTTTGGCTGTTCAAAGGGTCGGAGGGAAATGCTGCTACATGACAAAAAAAATCAATGAGGTTCTAAATGCAAAGTCTCGTGAACTTGGAGATATCGGGCAGCAACGAAACAAATGAAAAGAGGGATGAAGTGGCCAGTATGGGCCGTTTATTCTGCAGAATGGGGTACCTCCAGCCCCGTACTATTAACTATGGGGCCTGATGTACTCCTTGGTATGTAATTCAAGGGGATCAGATGAATCATTTCACTTTTGTTTTGTATTGCTTTATTTTTATTTTTTATCTTCTTTATTTCAATCGTTTCAGTTGAACATTGAACGGTATTCGCTGTTTCTAGTACACTAGGCCTATATGTATATCAACCCAACTCCCAATTCTATATTGTACATATATTGTACATCTTGTGCACGAGGGCTGTCGATCAGGTCAAAGCACCGAATACTGCACGCGTTAATTAGAAATTAATCTCCCAAGGGAGTTAGTTCCTTGTTTGTATATTCGGATCAGCAACCATATGTCCTAACATGGACTAAACACAACAGTAAGACACCAGGGAATGAATGTTCAAAGCTTCAATCTGATGACGCATGTACGCGTCTATAGAATGAAACACGAGTAATGACATGTACGATAAATACAATTCTAAAAGAGACCAGCAATCAACAAAATCCAAAAATATGCAGAGGTGGGCAGAACAGTCGGCGACAATTCAGGGGTATCGTATCAAGTGCCCAGAAGGATATCAAGGGAAAAAAAAAAAAAAAGGAAACAATCGAGATGCAAACATAAACTTCTAACACTTCAATACTTCAAACAGTGCCCTCAAATCAACCCAGCACTCGGGGGTCGTCCAGGGTTAGCCGCCTGCCAATCGCGCACCAGCTCTTCACGAACAGTTTTGCACCAAGCCAGCAGTGCAGTATCGAACTGCTTCCAAGCGGTAATGCCACTATTCTGTACGACACCCATAACATCAACATCCAGCCGGAGCTCCCACCGGAGTTGTGCAGCTTTTACCCAGAACTGAAGATTCTCAGTCTGCCGGTACGGCTTGGCAATGTCAAGGTGGTAAGCTGTGATCTCACCGAATTGGCGTTTCGACTTCTTAATCGCAAGGTTGTGTAACTGAACCAGGGCACGGCCATCCCGGAACCTGTCAAGAAACGCTGTGGGAAGAGAGTCAACAGGAGCCTCCTCAACCGGTGTCCAAGTCGGCAAGGAGTCACCGCCAGGCAACAAGCTGCGCAGAAAGGACTCCTCGCGTGAGCGCTCACGACCTCTCCAATCACCCGCCGCCCAATCCCAGTTCTGCCGCTCTTGGGCTTCAAGGTCTTCCAGCGCTTTCTCGCGGACAAGCATGGTGCGCACAGCCGCGATCCAGCCCTGAATCCGTCCACGTTCCTCCTCGCGCAGACCGCTAGCAAAATGCCGTGCAGCCCATCGCTTCAAAACTTCCAAGACGTCAAAAAGTTCCTTGCGGATCTCCCGTTCGCTTTTTATTGATGCTAAGCGCTCTGGGTTTTCGTGGGTGGTATAGTAGATCTTGGCTGCACGGATTGCATTTGTAACATCGTCCAGGATGCACATGCCCTGCGCCTCCTCCTTATTCATCGGGGTCGGGACCTGCCCTGATTGATCATCCTCGTTTGTCTCGGGGATATCACCCGGAGAAAGACTCGATCGGAGGATGGGACGGGGAGGAGGCTCCGCGCCATTTTCAATTGCCTCGATATTGGTCTCTGCTTTATCCAGCGCGAGCGTAAGCTGCCGGCGCAAGAAAATCAGATCTGGCGGAGGGGGGATGTGATGCGTTTTGATGCTGTATGTGCTAACTGTAGGCGGCAGCATCACCTCTGCGTCCTCGTCCTCAAATTCACCCTCTGCCGGGTCTGCCATATCTGACGGGCTCGTGACCAGGTCGTCATCCATGTGTCGTTGATTGGGGGTGATCAGGACTCGTGGCACGTTATTTTTGTTCTTCTTGTTCTTTTCCCACTCGCGGCCCCTCCCGCTCTTCCCGTCCAGTAGACCCGTCCGGGCAAAATAGTATTGTAAGTGGGCGATACTGCCGAGACTCATGACGCTGTCGCGGTGGCGAGCTGAGTCCGAGAACTCCGCACCCAATGCACGAGTATATCCATGGCGGCGAGATGATGTTGACACGGACGATCTGGCATCTGCGGAGGTGGCGGAGGAGGTGGAGCGGGAGGACTCAGAGGAAAATGTGCGATCTGGGGAGGAATATGAGGAGATAGCTGGTGTTGCTGGGATAGATGGCGATGGCGAGGAGGCCCGGAGAGGTGCTGTCGCCTTAAATTCCATGGACTGTCGGGGCGCGTCCATCTTGTTTGGATTTGAATTGTTCAACGTGGGCTGTTTCACGGGGCCAAATTTTGTGGATCTGCGTCGCGTGAAGATCAATCACTACCACGTTCTCAGTGACGGATATTCTGCGGGGGTGATGTGACGTTGATGGTGAGGCCTAGGCGATCCACAGACGAACAACGGCTTTTATATAAATGGGTAACTGAAAGGACAGAGAGGTTTAATGAAACCTGCAGGATCGACGGGCGAGAAACTGTTTTTGGGTCAAAAGGGGGGGCTTCGAACTAACCGGCACAAAAAGGGGAAGCGGGTCAACCGTCCACATGGGAATTGAAAGAGATGAGTGTTTTCTTTCCACCAAAAATAAACCAATAAGACCAGCGGGGCCCTTTTTTTGGGTGATTATCGTTTGGAAGTTATGAAGCTATACATTAATGGTCTGTATACTTCCAAAGCCTCGAACATCGGATCCACGGATGTTCCTGAATTGCCTAGTTGGGTTTAGCCTGTGCCCCACGTTCCATGGTTTGACGGTCATCCTGGCTGCCCGACAACCGTGGAACTTTGGAACCTTCTTTGGAAGGTTGGAAGGTTGGAAGGTTGGAAGGTACAGGAACATAATACAATAACATACAACCTTGAACTTCAACATTGCAAAAAGAGAAGAGATTCTATTCTATTATGACCTTGCTAATCCCCATTTCTCAAACGCCTGTAAAAAAAAATATAAAAAAAACTCCCTTTTGAATGCCTCAAGGCTTCACCTGTCTCGGTTCAGCGATAAAGATCTCGTTGCGATCCCAACCCTCTGGCTTCAGGTTATCAATTCCCTTCGTCGGGTGACTTATGCTCGGATCGGTGTACTCAATCTGGTAGGGGTTGGGGTCGAAAGTCTGCTTGAGGTTGGCGAGGGTGTGATTAACCTCGCGGTGCTTGGCTTCGTCGGCACGGACAAACATCAGCAAGTCCTTCATCTTGCGCTGGCCCTCTGGCATCTGCCAGTACTTAATCGCAATCTCGGGTGCATCAAGATCGTTCCACTGTGGGAGCTTGCCGGCCTCGAGTTCCTCAATAGCACGGGTGTAGGTAATAACAGCCTCCTCCTCAAGGTATCCCACAAATCTGTGGCAGATGCGTGGGGAGATCAGGTATGCCAGGAAGAATCCGTTGAAGAAGAAACCCTGGGCGCCGATAACCATCAAGCGCATGAACCAGCCCGGTTCGGCCAGTTTCAGGAAAGTAAGCAGGTGCATGCGTTCGTTGAATGCTTCTTCGAGCAGGGTTTCGATCCTAGAAGGAAGTGGGTTAGCTTTGAGGTAATATGTTTATTTGTGTAATCGACGTACCATCCGTTGTCTCTCTTCATCTTGCGAAGACTACGGAGATGCCGAAGCATGCCACCCACCATCCCGGGGACGCCGGCCACACTTTCCAAGAAAATGAATCGGTTCATCCATTTGTGCTCTGTCATTTTGAAGATTCCCGATAGTTCCTGGCCAGGCTTGGGATGTCTGTAACCTGTTACCGTATCCATGCCCCATCGGAAAATGCGTACAGTCCCTAGTGCAACCCAGTCAGACCAATTTGAAGCTTGTCTGTGGGCGATGCGAATATTTTGCATTTGCGACTCGGTGTACCTGACATAAAGTTAGTGACTGGCTCAGATAAAGGGGCTGTGAATATACTTACACTGGATGGGCCCATGCTGTTTGCACTTCCTTGACATTTGGAGCCTTTGGTGGTGGGAAATAATCTGTGATCTGATTCTGGGGTGTTGACGAAATAGGGCGCTTGGATGTGAGGTTAAATGTTGATGTGCGCTTGTTACCCCCACATGCAGGATTCAAAGTTGTTGCTGTAACGCCAGAGTAGGTTCGTACAGCAAGGTGCAGGTACTGTGGCTTTGCTGCAGCCCTTAAGGGAGCCCTCACTGATAGAGTATTCATGATGTAACCCGGAGCGAGTTTGAGGTGGGTCACGATTGAAGGTGATGGATGAAGGCGAAGAAGGCGAGGAAGGCTAGGAAGATGATGAGGTAAAACTGTTAAGAATATACAGAAGAAGTGTATAATGTTTTGGTTGTGATTGAAGAGAGATGAAGGTGACAACCCCCAATCCTTTAAATCTTTAAATACATAAGCTACGCAATCTCTGGGAGACGAATAAAACCAGGGGCATTTGCAAAGGGGAAAAAGGCAAAGAAAAAACCTCGGAAATGCATAGATTGAACACTTGGGAGTTGAAAATGATGACATTCCGTATACTTCATCGCCCGCACTAGATGCTCCCCTTCCCATCAACCTCTCAATATATCACTCATCTCTCAAGATCATATCAATGTTACAATACCCGAACAAGAAGTGAGTATATCAGACTTCCCATTATCCCTGCAACATATTCACACGTTTCATGTCACCAATTCTACTCTTACCTCCCCAAATGGTCGAGTCTTTGCTCTGGCAGGTGACATCGGGAGGGATCGGGAACCCCGATGACTCAGCCCGCAATCAGCCCTGAAGTCCAGTCGCCGTTTGCGATGGATCCCGAGAAATATTCGGCGTCAAAGCCCGAGTTAGTTTGAGGTCAATTTTTTTGGGTTTCCGGGATTTTGAAAATATCCTTCTATCTCACCGGTGAACTAGTTGGTAGCCTGTGAAAAGGAGAATACCTCTGCCCGTTTCCTGCCGATCAAGGCACATGCATAGTAATTGCTCACCTCAAGCGGTATATTCTCGGCATCAAAGATCTATAATAATATACTGATGCATATATAAAGAGCTCGGTAGGTATCCTTGTCTGCAAGTCAACATTTACTAGCTGTTTTCTACTGCTGTTATTCTTCTTGCTTTCATATCTATCGTCTATCGTCTGCCTATACTCTGTATGCCTATACTCTCCTTCAAAGACGAAGATGCTGATATGTTACTCTCTACCGGTGAGATTTTGAGTACATGGACAGTTTTTGCCTAGTATTAAGACCCCACCAAAGTGGGTTATAGCATTATTTTTAAAGTATATGAGTATTACAAATAGGCTGAAGGCTGATGGCTCAGACATTTCTCCTTTTCTATTATCGACTCTGCTCTCTGCATTGCTAATCCATGAATGTTTCCTGTCTCCATCTCTCTGTGTCTTCTGTGACTTTCCATTTTAACTTTGTCTGAATGCTTTGCGTGTTGTTCGGTCTATTGGCCTCTGCTACAGTAGTTAAGCAATTGGGCACCAGCTGTTTGATATGGTTGAAAATTCTTGTATCTTAGAAACCAAGTGTCACACGGTCCAAGCCTCCGAGAACTCTGGCCAGTACATAGTACTAACGTATCAATAACAAGGATGTCTCAGGTATTCCACTATACATTTCTCTCTAAGTAGCTAGGTAGGAATCACAGCTTTTTACGATCAATCGTTAAGGAAGGAGTTTTCCCAGAATGATGAAGTAGAAGAAATGGTATGGATATAGCCTCGATGCGTGTTCTGATTGATAGTAATAGAGGCAAAAATAAAAGGTCAACTCCTAGTTCCCCGGTTTGAACATGGACTCTGCTGTCCGCATCACGGTAAATCCCTCCTCATCATGACGCACATCCAAATCTCGCTTCTCCAGCTTCACTACATGAGCCATAGAAGGACCTTTATCGATGCGCTGGAGGAATTTCTTCACTTTTTCGTCGCTCCCTTGGGCCTCGCCTTCGACCTGATAAGATCCAGTAAGCGCTAGGCCTGGGGACATGATAAACATCACCTACCCTTCCACAAGTAGTGTTCCTAACCCAGCCCTTGAGCCCATCGAGTTTAGCACATTTTTGGGTGAAGTCTCTGTAGTGCGCGATAGTCACTGGTTAATCGATAGACTATGATGTCATCCGTTGAGAGGGGGGATGGTTTCCTACCGGAAGCCGACACCTAGGAGTTCAGGTCAGTGACAGAGTGAATGATATTATTTGAAGACTATGGACAAGTCATGAGACCGACCCACCTTGGACGGTGCCGTGGACTTTGAAAGCAATCTGAAGTAGATAGAATATCAGTAGGGGAAACTTGTGGCTCTCGCTGTGCTGCGGGCTGGCGATGTGCATAGCAATAGGACTAGATGGAGTATATATTAAAGGACATACACGTATGTTTGACATTCTGGATGAAGGAAGGTGTTTGGTTGGAGAGTTGGAAGATGTAGAGTTGAAGTGTACAAGGTTGATGTCCCTGGGAGAACATTGCGGGTGGCTCCAACATACCGGTTGATATACAACCCTTCTTTTTCAGATAGCCAAGCTTATAGATACAATATCCTGGAGATATACTATTACTCTTTCTTTTCAATCTGATATTTCAAATCTATACTCTATACATACGTGTTTCACTAAATCTCGGGGCACTTAATTTCGTGTAAGCTACACATCCACGGTGATTGGCGCCCGCAAAGTTACATATATTGCTTACCTTTGGCTAAGTCCCCCCGGGTCTGTTTATATCAATTGTGCACGATGGATGGAGGACGGAGTACTACGTACTCCGTATTGGAACCTGGATCTGTGTTATCAACTGGGAGATAAATAGTTACTTGAGCCTTGACTGTACTTCGTACTACTCGATATGATATTGGCTGGTGCTGATTGGGTCCGCAAAAAGGATCTACAACCTTGCAAAGGGTAGGCAATTCCTCAATTATTTTGATATATAAAATGGAAATCAATTTTACGTTGTAGTTTAGTTCTAAACTATTAGTTCCGTGTCGAGAGAGGATACAGATGAGGCCACGCGGTCCCTCGGCCCCTGAGTAAACACTGGAATCTCAACCTTCCGACTTCAACTTCTCCAAACACCTGCGACGGGCATGCTATCGATATAAAATGCCCTCCATTTTCGCCTGGCTTCGGCGGGTCTACTCGTTAGACACCCTTGACACTCGTTTTACCTCCTCCGCAACCCCTGCCCACACCAACACACGACTTTCCAAAGATACCCGCAACGCAATCGTCCAGGGCGCGTCACCTTCACTTTGGCGCACACCAGAATTCTTTGTTTACTACTTGTTCTTTATTATCCTTGTTCCATTGATGTTCAAAACTGTCATCGATGTCTCAAAAGGTGAGTGCAGCAGGCCAGAGAAAGAAAAAGCCGGGACTTGAAATTCTGACTGGGGATCAACGTCACAGAAAGCCACCCAACCTACTCCACATACTCTCACCTTCTATCACCCGGTTGGATTCCTGGCCGTAAAGTGGTAAGTGCGAAACACTCGACATTCAGTTATCCACGTCGACGCCAGCCCCGACTGACATTATTGCTCCAATGCCTAGGACAACTCCGATGCCCAATATGAAAGCTTTCGCGACAATATCCCTTCCCTTCTACTACTCCTAATCGCCCATCCTTTGGCTCGCCGCGTTTATCAGTCGTACAAGAACCGCTCGAATGTCGACACAAAACAATCGAGCCATTCTGTGATTGGTGCGGGGGAGGCGCAACTTGAACAGCGAATGCGCTTCGACTTTTGGTTCGGATTAATCTTCATAATAGGGCTTCATGGGGTATCCGCCTTCAAAGTGTTGTTAATCCTGTATATCAACTTCCGAATCGGCAAGGATGTTCCTCGCGCCTACGTCCCTACCGCCACATGGATCTTCAACCTCGGCATTTTGTTTGCCAACGAACTAAGCGGTGGTTACTCCCTTGAGCGGATAGCGAAGGTGTTCGCTCCAGGGTCCGGAACCTCAGAAGATGGCGACACCGCGCTAGTTCAATGGGGTCAGACTCTAGATGATCTCGGGGGATTGATACCGCGATGGGAGGTCCTTTTCAAGGTCACGGTGTTGCGCCTCATCAGTTTCAACATGGATCACCACTGGAGTGTAGACTACCCTGCCGCAAGTCCAATTGAAGTAAGTCTTCCCGAAAATGGTCGATGGGCCACCAATCCTTATATGACAATCAAACTTACCGAGTTCTACAAGAAGAAGCAACTAGACCCTGCGACCCTCTCTGATCGTGACCGGGTCAAGATTCCCGCAGAACCAACCGCTTTCACATTCCGCAACTACATCGCCTATATGCTCTATTCGCCTTTGTATCTGGCCGGTCCGATCTTGACATTCAACGACTACGTATCTCAACAACGATACACATCGGCGTCCCTCACTCGATCTCGCATCATGCTGTACGCCGTCCGATTTGGCCTCACTTTGCTCGTCATGGAGCTTATCCTCCATTATATTTATGCGGTAGCAATTTCCAAAGCTGACCCCGACTGGTCCGTCTTTACTCCGGGGCAACTTAGTATGCTCGCCTTCTTCAACCTGCACATAATCTGGCTGAAACTCCTCATCCCCTGGCGATTCTTCCGTCTCTGGGCCCTCCTAGATGGGATTGATCCACCAGAGAACATGGTCCGCTGCATGTCTAACAACTACTCCGTCTTGGCCTTTTGGCGTGGCTGGCACCGCTCCTACAACCGCTGGATCGTCCGTTACATCTATATCCCACTGGGCGGTGGTGGCGGCGGACGGCGGGCACCAGGAGCACCCAAACCAGCTTCACCTTCTCAGTCTAAGTTCATGGGCAAGTTCCTGCAAATTCGCAATTTCCTGCTGGTTTTCACCTTCGTCGCCTTATGGCACGATATTAATCTCCGCCTGCTCATGTGGGGTTGGCTTGTTACTCTCTTCGTTCTACCAGAAGTTTTGGGCGGTATGCTCTTCCCGGCCCACCGCTGGCGCTCCCATCCCACTGCGTACCGTGTCATCTGTGGCATTGGCTCCGTTGGGAACGTCCTTATGTTGATAATCGCAAACTTGGTCGGCTTTGCGTTGGGTGTAGATGGATTAAAGGATCTGCTGGTCAGCCTCACGGGTTCGTACTCTGGCCTGGCGTACATGGTTTCCTGCTGCGTCGTACTTTTCGTCGGCGTGCAGGTTATGTTTGAGGTTCGCGAAGACGAACTCCGCGCGGGCATCAACTTGAAATGTTGAGCCTTTTCCATACAACCTTTTTGTCAGCATATTTTAGAAAATTGATTTCGCCTAGAGCGAGGGTATAACGAGATGAATATGTATACACTTATTCTAAAGGTCACATTAATATTTATACTATTGTACATTTTGTTGGTATCAATTCATAAAGTCATCAGTAGAACAAGGCCAGACCAAGCTCCATCTCAATAATACACACAAGGACAGACCAACCCCCCTAAAAGAAAGCACCACACCTCGAATCCTCATGAACCTTATAGCAATCCAAGCTACAAGTCCTTAAATGGCAACTCTTACACCGAATCTTCCCCCAATACCCACACAAACAACAAAAATGCCGTCCCGGCCTCCCCACTGCCAGCGGCTTCGCCCGCGACGCATTATAAGAAAGCGGCGGCTCCGCCAACAACCTCTGCATAAGCCGATCAGAAGGCACAGGCGGCGCATACGAGCGCAGCAGTGGATCATTATCATATTCCGACTTAATAAGTTTCGGCTTTCGCGCCGGTTCCTCATCACCATCTGTTTCCGCATCCATAGTCTCCCGTGCAGGCGTCGACGTCCCAGTAATCGTACCCGACACAGCCGCCGGCCGTTTAACGCCTGCTGTACTAGCCGGTGTCGCGCTGCGCCGCACAGCAGCAGTCTTGCCCCCCTTTGCCGCAACGATGCTTGCGCCTCCCGCGCCCTGCATGCCTGCCACACCCCCGCTGCCGGAGGCTATTGCTGCTTCTTCGTCGTCGAGATGGTTCCGGAAGGTCTTTTGGGATTGGAGGATGCGGCGGACGTTCGAGGTGGTTTTTGCTCGTGTGCCGCGTGCGCCGGCTTCGCGGGCTTGTTTCACGGGTACGGGGATGGCGACGTCGCGTTGGTTCTCGCGGTCTAGTTCGGCGATGTGCCGGGCAATTGCGTTCGCTTGTCGTGAGGAGATGTCGCCGCCCTTGCCGGCGTCGCGGATGCCGCGTTTGCGGCCTAGGGTTGGGGCCATTGCTTGTGTTGGGTCGAAGCCTCGGGTTGGGGCGTAGGACCAGCCTGGTGTGGCTGTTGAGGTGTCGGAGACGAGTTCGACGCGGAACATTTTGAGAGGATTTGGGGTGTTGGGTGGTTTGGTGATGATGCGGAAGTGGAGGATGGCTCTTGGGGGAGTTTGGGAGATACAATGTTTGTCTTGTTTGCAGCGGAATCCCGGGGGTTGGAGAGGCGCCAATGTACTTCGTACGGAGCTACAGGTTTAGTTGGAGTAAGTATTGGGAAAGGAAATGGTGATATTTTTGAAAAAGCTGGAATTAATTTCACGCAAAACAAAAGAAACGAAGAGCTATGCCCTGGCCAAGAGAGTGATAATGGGCATCAATGTCCAGGGTTGACAGGCTTCATGCACAGAAAAACAAACACACCCAACACCTCAAAGCCATAATAAATACACATATGAAAACAGACTGATTCAAGTACTTATTTCTTTTTGTGCAGCTGATCAACTCTGCCCTCTAGTTCTGTAATGTATGACTGGAGCTTGATGGTAGCCTTTTGAAGTGCCTATAAAGCAAACAATCAGTTCTGTTAAGATTAAAATTTAAAGAGAAGATAGGGTCTTCTCAGACACCGAGCAGTTGGGAAGCTATAGACATACCGAAATGTCATCAGTCAACATCTCATTGGCGAGCCGGTACTCAGCTAGGATGTAATAGTACACCGACACGCCAGCGGCAACAGATCCAGTCAGGAACCCGAAAACACTATCTGATATTAGCAAGAGTGCCTGAAAATCCGTGGCCATTTGACATTGAATGTCATTGGAGATAGGGGAATTTCTCATACCCTCCTCGGAAAGCTCCGACAGGCTTGCTTGACGGGAGCGGCACGGCGGACTCCCAGCGGGCGCGGGAGGACGAGAAGGAGCGGATGCCGAGGTGTCCGCGCAAAGGGAGAAAGATCTTTGTGCCAAGAGGCATCTTGACAAATATTATTTCAAATGAAGAGGGGAGATTTACGGATTGTTTGGTGGAAAGATGGTGGCAAGGGGAGTTGGAAAGTGACGTTGATGAAATGCGGAGGTCCGGGCGGCTCGGAACTTGGAGACCTTGAGGCCTTTTTGTATACAACATAAAACACAAGGGAGACTACACCAAAAAAATCTATATTTGAAATCGCTTGGATATGATATCTAGTAGGAATGCTGAGGTACATGATTTATTGCTTCCCTTAATTGGCCATGGTACTCTCGTTAAAGAGATCCGCTAAAAGATCGTCTCGGCACACTGTCGAATCTACGCTGCCCATGCCGTACGTACTCTCAAACACATAGATACTCAACCGAGCGAAGAATGGTCGCAGGACCCTCTCGACAATATCGTCCTTGGCTGTCTCTCGGATCCAGTCTGAGATGAGCCATGGTCGCTTAAGACCACCGCGAGCCTGAGGTTCGATAGAGTCGGTGGGGACAGTGGGGGAGCTTGCACCGCGTGGACCGAAAGTCTGAGAAACCTCATCCGCCAGAGCAATGGGCTCCCACCGGTCCGGCGGATAGACTGCGTCAATGGTGTCGGTTACGAAAAGCCACTCAAGGAGCTGGAAGTCGTCTGGGGCGAGGACAAGCAGTATGTCGAGAAGCTTGCACGCTTGAAGCAGCGAATAAGAGTTGTAGACCTCCGGCTGAGAGCCCTGGGGTACTGCGGAAATAGCTTCTTGCAGTTCCACATTGATCAGGGGCCAGAATGGCGCCATGGCAGAGGCAGAGGTCTTGAGCGCGACTGCTCGAAGAACCATGAACACTTCTGCCCGAGTGGCAGAAGATGGCGACGAGGCGCTGGTTGCCGCAAGAAGATCTTCGAGTTTTTGAAGCAATGCCGGTAATTCACCAACGAAGTAATCATCGCTAGCGGAAAGCAGGAGTAGCGCGATTCGCCGGAGGTTGAGCTGCGCTTTGCGATCGGCTTCCAATCGGGCTGCAGATGCTCCTACGCCGAACATGATACCCGCTGAGCTTGGTGGTGGAAGGCGGACAAGAAGTTCGGATAGTCGTTCCTTGTCAGCGAGAACCCACTGTCGCAGCAGGTCCATCCAGCTGTTCTTCACCAAGTCCAGCTGCAATCCAAAGAACCGGGTATCATGGAACGCATCCGATATGTCCTTCTTCCACATTTTCGCTGCAGCTGGTACTTTTGTCATTTGCTGTAGAAGAACCATGACATTACGGTTGAGATTGTTAGGGAAGAGACGTGACCGGATAAGAGGGCCCACCACATTTGTCGAGACACTAGTAATGGCGGTGTTGATCCGATCTGAATCGCCTAGAGTCGTGATAAACGACGGCATCGAGACCGCCAGAATGCTCAGCATGTCGTCGGGTCCAGTATGAGAGACCGAGGTACGATCGTGATCCACTGAAGATCTTGCCATAGGCCCAGTGTCGTGGTTGAGGCCTAGGGGTTTGCTGGTAAAGACTGCGGTAAGGAGTCGTAGGAGGACATCCTGCGTTATAGTTGTTAGCAATCGTGATAAAACTAGTAGTGAATACACATACTCCAAGTTCCTTTCTCATACGGCGGTCTTCGCCAAAGGTTGTATTCTCCAATTTCACCCCTAAAATAGCCGCGAATTCAATCAAACGTGGAAGAATCTGCCGGTGTGGGAATGGATTGCTAAGAACATCGCGCAAGAAAGTCGTGCAGTCCGTCCAAATCTCGTCAAGAACATCATCGTCTAGTGAGCGGGCATAAGTAACCAAAAAGCTAGCAAGCTCGGACTCGGAGAGATTGGACGTTAACGAGGACTTCCGGCTAGGATCCAATGCACTAGGATTAGTGCGAGTGTAGATTGCATTGAAAATGGCAGGGATGGTTATTTTTGGGCTTGACCCATCCAGTGTATGCAGGAGATTGAATATAAGTGACGCTGTCTTCGTGTCAGCCTTGGTCCACATTTCCACCAAGGTCTCAAGACATTCAAGTGCCTCTGCGGTGAAAAAGTGCTCCAAGATCCGGCGTGAGCGGTTCCTCATCCGCAACGAAGTGTATTGAAACGAGGCTAGAGATTCACAATCGGGAGGAGAGTCACTGTGATCTCCTGCACCCCACGCCCAGATGGAGAAGCATAAGCGAACGGCATCTTGGAAACAGAGAAGCACAGTCAAGCGGTCGTTGGCGGTATTTGGACGACCTTGTCCGCCTTCCGAGTTGAATACCCCAGACACCATGTTTCCGAAAAAGCCCTGCGCTTGATCAGGGCTCTTGACCGTTGGAACGTTGGACTCTTCCACAATGAGACGTTCATGTGCGTTTGCGATACAGGTCTCGAGACCAGTCAGGAGAGCAATTGTGACATGCTCGGAGCGGTCCTGCGGCCAGTCCTCTGTTTGCTGGAAAGACAGCTGAAGTCTACCATATGATGCTCGAATTTCTCTGCAGAAACATTCCACAAGCATCAATAGGATCTGGAATATGGAACCTGAGTATAGAGGGAGCACCTCACAAAGCAACACTATCCACTTGTCCACAATTTCTCGGGATTTAGGTGAGCTAATTCCCTTTAAAAGACAATCCAGAAGCCGCTCTGGCGGATGCGGTAGCTGTGGTAACGATTGTCTCCTGTCTCCTTTGTCACTGGTAAAAGACAAGATAGAAGGACTAGTCAGCCGATCTCGAGAGCTAGCTCGTAAATGTTTTGGCCGAGGTGGCGGTGGTGGTAGATATGCTTGCGCAAATCGCACCTTCAATGCAGCAAGGAGTGTGTCGATGAGTGCACCCTGGACCGCAATACTGCCCCCCTCGGAAGACACAAGAAGGCGCTCCACCAAGAAATCATCAATGCCAGACTCCACTAATTCCTCTGCTCTGGGCCCAAGAAGAAGCTGCCCCATGAGCTGGAGTGCGTCCTTATGCAGTCGTTCTCCGTCTACATTAATTTCCACAGGAGCTGGGGATAGTGTGCTGACGATTCGAAGAGATGCTTCAAATATGGCGGAATGAAGGCTTCTGAAGTCTGCATTTTCTATCCAGGAA